CTTGGGACAAGCGTCCCAAGGCTATTGGAAGACATCTGAGTCACATTCTTCATTACAGTAGGCTTGTGTCTTACATCCATTTAGCATTTTGGACTCAGTATTTAGTATTTGACCCCAATACACTTCACATAAAATAATTCATAATTTTCCGAAAGCCTGCATTTGAATCACACTTTCTGTGAGTTGCTCACCATGAGCCAGTCACTAAGCTCAGGAATGAGCCCATGCACCTGCCTCCACTATAGCTCAACATGCATTCTTGCCCCCCCCCCCCCCCAGTATAAGCAGCATCAAAAACTGTACACGGGCAACAGTGGTTTTCACAAATTTGAGACATTCTTGAGACATAGGACCACACATCTAACAGATTACACTAAATCCTAACTGGCAAATAGTCTGGGTGTTGGGACATTGCCCAGGCACCTGAATTATCTCCTCTGTCAGAGAAAATTTGCTGCCTAATAGGGTCACTGTCAGAAAGTTTAGCGTACAACCTAAGTCACCCATTCCTGAGTCCAAGAATCACATTATTGAGGCCAAGTTGTAAGTCCTCATATCCTCATTATTTCTTGAAAGGGCTATTGTGTCTTAATAAAAATTGAAGTCCAGATACTCTGCTTTAGCATACATTTAACTGGCATCTGACATCTATTCTATCTTTGCTTGTTAATAGCGTCTCAATTTTTATTCAAGTAACCTCCCCTTTCATAAACAGCTTGTGGGCTTTTAGGGATGCTCTAGGGGTGGGGCATGTAGTTTAGGTTTGAGATAATTAGCCTAATATTATCACCGGGCTGAAAGTTGTTCAGGGATGAAGTGAATAATTAAATTGGACTAGTCATAGAGATGCCCAGGATATTACTGATGGTTGTGAAAGGGCAATTTTTTTCCACTAACTATGAACCTGCAAGGATAAAACTCCAGACGTTTCAGGAAACCACGCTGAGATGAAGAAAAGAGAATCAGTCTGAGAATGAAGTCACCCCAGGGAAAGCAGAGCTGGGAGACTGATCCTGGTCAGTTATTTGTCTTTGTCAAACCATACCTAAAGCTATACATACTACAGAAATGTTTGTTACCTGAACCATGAATTTTCTCTGGTTTGGACTGGATTCTTGTCACTTGCCACCAAATATTCCTAACTAATAAACCTTCCCTGATATGGTAGAATTCCAATGGTAGGTACATAGGTTAAATCACCTTTTGGGACATTCCCTACACAAATACAAAATTATGATTAAAACAATATATCTTTTGAGGCACCTGGGTGGCTCAGTTGGTTGAGCGTCCAACTCTTGGTTTCAGCTCAGGCCATGATCTCAGGGTCATCGGGCTCTGCGCTCAGCGTGGTGTCTGAGGGAGATTCTCTCCCTCCCCCCCCTCCCCCTGTGCCCGCTCTTCCCCCTGCTTGCTCCCTCTCTCTAAAATAAATAAAATCTTTCCCAAAAAAACAAATAATAGTATGTCTTTTGACAAAGTACCCAACCATTACTTACCCACATAATACACGAAATGCTACAAAACACATGAAATGCCACATAACACATGAAATGCTACAAAATTTATTTATTGTGTCAAAGCAATGAGAAAGCTGGACCTTCTAAGTCCTTCAGATCACATCTAGAAATTATCTCTTTCCCTGTAAGATGAAATTCAAAAACTGGTCAACAGCAGAACCAAGCTGAAGTGAGGCATAACGCAGATCTCAGGATGTAACTGAAACCCAGCTATCCAAAGCATTTGGTTTTAATCGTCTTCTAAATCAACTGCTTGATAAAAATATTTTCAAAGAAAGTTTGTGTCAAAAAATCAGAGAATGTCTGTGTGCTGGTCTGGGTGAATGGTGAGCAAGACAAGAAGATTTAGGACTCTAGAAAACTCACAGAGACCATCTGAGGCTCCTGGAAACTCTCCATCATCTTCTTATGTGCTTAGAGAAGTCTTCCCCCTGTCCTAAGAACTGCCACTGTATCCTCTCTTTCCTCCCCCTTCCTTCCTCCCTACCTTCATCCCTTCCCATTTTCTCCCCTCCACTTTCCTTTCTCATCCTCCTCCTCTTCCTCCTATCCCTTCTCCTTTTTCTTCCTTTTATTTTCCTTCCTATGAAGATCATCCTATGAAGTAAGCCATAATCCCCCCACCTTTTAGATTTCAAAGCCTTCCTAGTCCCAGTTTTCTCAGATTTTTCCCAGGCTAGAACATTCTTCACTCAGCAACCTAGGCTGAACTTGCTGAACTGGAAAATCCTGCAGCTGCTTCCATGCTACCATTTTCATTCATACCTCTAGATTCTCTCCTTCCCAATGTCATGGTCTTGTGGCCTGATGTATAACTACGGAATTTCCAGCACATATTTGTTTAAAGCCATTTTTTTGACTCCTTCTACAGCACTGACCTTGAGGACATTCATATTCCCTCTATATTGCATTTGTACAGAAATCCTAATAACAGCTTCTTAATTGAGCTTCTGAAATGTAATTAGCATTCTTTGGGATAAACATTCTAATTACACTGTTTCCTTGGAATAAATGAACTACAGATTTCCCTGATCATAAAAGAAAGGACGAAAAGGGAAAAAATTCATTTGTGGATAAATGCTCTAATGAAATGCTTTGTGGAGCCAACTGGGAATCAGGAAAGGAGTGACACATACATCTCTCATGTCCCTGTTAAATTTCTCATTCTATAATTCACTGTCTTAATGATGTCAGAAACAAGAGGGAGAGAAAAAAATATAGGAAGAGGAAAAAAGTCATCTCTCCCTCTCAATGGAATCCTTAAAAGTTGCATGAATATATATATATATATATATATATATATATATGAATTTGGCACTGGTGTTTTTACTCTGGCTGAAAAAAAAAAATCCTGGTAATTTCTCTAATTCAGGAAACTAATACTAAGAAACACTACTCATTTTGGTATCAATTAAGCCATAAAATAATTCTTTGGTACCCCTGCAATATTCCTCAAGTAATACTGTGTGTGTGTGTGTGTGTGTGTGTATACACATATAAAACACATGTACACCTTAGCTACACAATCATCAATTACTCTATCAAAGTCATTTAGCCACCAGAGTTATCTCCCTTTCATTATCTATACTTCATTTCTAAACCTCTTTTCTGGACAGAATGAAACTTCAAACCAGCTGATACTTGACTGAATGGTGACTGTCTACTTTTTGAGTCAGTAGAACATTACTGATTTATTAAAAAATAACCCTATTTTCCTGGTTTTCCTACTAAATCACACCTGCATAAGTAATGCCAAGAGATTACAGGAAACATTAACACTAGTAACTGTTGCAAGCCAGCATAGCCACAGCATGGTTAGAGACTAGATCAAGGAGGTTAGGGAAGCCTAATACAGCAAAATCACCTATTGCCTTCAACTAATCATCACCCGTAAGAAAAAGCACAGCTTCTTCATGAGTTTCCAAACCACAAACAAGCTAAAAGTGAAATGACCTGCCAGAATTCCTCACTGATGCCTTTTATCCTCCATAATATGAAATTAACTAGACAGTACATGACATTATAAGACAGAACAAACCTCTTGAACAGTAATTCACAGTGACTTTAAGAGTTGACAACAATGGGAATATGATGGTCACCAGAGGAAATATCTCCCATGAGCCTTCGCATTAACACAGGCACATCCAGATACAGCCACATCATTATCATCATTTATCTTCACCAAATAGACAGAGTACATGGCTTTCACCTTCAGAACATCTGTTACTTATGTAAATGCGCAAAATTTTTTCAAGTATTTCAGGAGCCAAGTGACCCACATATTTTGTAACAAGAGCTCATCTTGCGTTCTCAATTTATGATTTTTTAATTGAATTACTGACATTTCCTCTCAGACATTTCCCAAGCAAAGCCAGAGATTCCATTTCATTTGCTCTATTTCAGGATCCCCCAAATGACAACAGGATCATAATAAATACTCAGTGCATGCTAGTTGAAAGCATCATTGAATAGATTTTGATTGTCAATACCAAGTGTCCTATATGTAGTAGATAAAAAATAAAGGAAAGGAAAAAAAAAGTTTGTTAGATTTAATTACATTTGGCTCATAGAGAGATTGTCAAAATGTAAACATGGTTTAATTGAATGATCTTGGCCTTAAAAGTCAACATATTTGATTATATTTGGGGGCAGAAATGCAATAAGAACCATTTAGCTACTGATTTGTTGTTTTAATGCGTATCCTCCTGTTGTGACCTTAAACTTAAGAGGCACTGTAGTCTAAACAGGGCGTCAACCTCAGCATGTATTTAAGCTGTGATATCTCCATAAATTGGGAAACTCTGGCCTGGGTTACATACCCTAAGAATACAAGCAATGGAATCACTGCATCATCTTGATTAATAAAGGCTAATGCCTGCTCAGGGATATGAGGAATATTATCCATCAATTACTCCCAAACCATCTTATTTATTCCAGTGACAGAAAACTACCCTCCCCACACACAACACCCCTTCCTTTCAGTGGTCTCTTCACTTGTTACAATTTGAGACAAGTACCCAGAGATCTTCAGGAAGTACTATTTGTTTATATAAACTGAGACTTAGCCTATCTGCTTAGAACAGATTATCACAGAAGACAGAGGCTCAGTGCAGAATATTATCTGCTGTAACTGCAAGTCCTTCCTAAAGCCATTTTTTATTCAAATATTTATTAAGTACTGTGCAGTGTTGGTGGTATAGTGGTGAGCATTGCTGCCTTCCAAATATTTATTAAGTACCCACATGTGCCAGGCACTGCGCTCTGCACAGAGCATACGACAAGGTTTCTTATTTCATGGGCTTACATTCAAGAGGAAGCCAAAAGACAATAATCAAGTAACAAAAAAGAAAAGACATATCAAGGAATGAGAAGTGCTGGGGTAAAGAATCATTGAGATCCGATGATAACTATTCACCATTAGGTTTTGTTTTCAAGCAACAACCACAGAGGAAAGTATCAGCGTCAGCATAACGCAATACTTACCACCACAATTACATTTGCTGCAGGGATTGGAAGGTTTTCCACTTCAAGATCTTGACCAGCCATGGCCAGCAGATTGAGAGATGGGTCGTATGCAGGTCTAGGAAATGCTGAATTAACAATTTGGTGCTGTTCGTTTATTTGCGTTTTAGAAGAGGAATGGTAGCTATGTTTATATATCTTTTGTGGAGTTATGTCCAGGCTCTTCTCAATGTCTTGTGAATGGTGATAAACGAATGCTGGCTTCCCACTCTTCTTCTGATGAATTGCCACGAACTGATCATTATTTCCTGAAAAGCACCCTGAAACGAGAAGGCGAAAACAAAAATCAAAGACCTTCACTGAGATGAGTAGAAATATCTGATAAAGAGAATTACCCGTCTCCAGGCAGCTTTAACACTTGTGAAGAATTTAGATAAGTTGGTCTCCACCTTTTCCCCTGCTTCATTTTCCCACAAATAGAACACATTTGGTGGTATGGAGGCATCTCAGAGACTTTGGGTAGACAGAAGTGGGTATAGTTTGAAAAAGTCCTATTTATCAGATATTCTTATATGTCTTTTAGTCCAGAATTTCCTCCTTTATATACAATCCCAGGTCTAACACCCAGTTGAGCTTCTATTCCTGAATGTCCTATCTGTTCCTCAAATAACCATTTATGTAATAGTTAAGCTTTCCTCCCTTTAATCAATAGCCTTTCATACAATTCTTATTTTATACTTATTTTATCTTGCTTATAGTTAGCAATGTATAATTTTTTTAAATGCTTGTAGAATATTTTAAGCTGAGGACAGAAATCTGAGGAGACTCATTATGGTTGCAACTTCCAATTCTGTAACAACATCCATTCTCTCCTTCTTACTCACTAATATGGCTGTCCAGATAACGAAATACGTTCACCTTTATTTCTTCTGTTAGGTAAATATCCATGGACCTGAATAACTCTTTCTCCTATTTGTCATTGGCCACAGGAGGAAAGAGATAACATGTACACGTAAGCCAAAAGAATATCACTAGGTCAAGCATCAATTAGAAAAGCAAACTTAAGGGGCCTGGGTGGCTCAGTAGGTTAAGCAGATGCCTTCAGCTTAGGTCATGATCCCCAAGTCCCGGGATTGAGCCTTGCATCAGGCTCCCTGCTCAGCAAGGAGTCTGCTTCTCCCTCTCCCTCTGCTCCTCTCCTGCTCATGTTCTCTCTCTCTCTCTCAAATAAATAAAAAATCTTAAAAAAAAAAAACAAAGAAAAGCAAACTTAAGATCTTCTATATAAGATGATCAGCAGAGTAAGCAGATCACAACATAATAATGCCACCCACATAGTGCCTAGCAACCCTAGGCACCCCAATTTTCCCTTGGTATGTTGATGGCAACAGTAAGCTGTACAAATACTGTCCTTAGAAAATTCCTTACCTCTTTTTACAAGAATTCTGGGATGCCTAGAATTCTTACTGAATATTTATAGTAGAGGAACTGCTAGTTTTTATAGCTTTTGCCCTCCATCAAGCCTTTTGTGACCAGCATATATTTCTAGCCTCTTCAGCAATTCTTCCTGAAATATGCTTTAAACTTTTGCTTAGGGATATAAAGACAGGTGATTTTTTAGTCAGCTTCAGTGCTTTTTTTCCATGATGGAACAGACAGTTTGGGAATCATCTTTGGGTACCAGTGACTTTAGCCTTTCAAATCATTCAAATCACAATTATATTTCATGTGAATTCTGAAATAGTAATAGAAACTAATCATCATATCTTCAGTCCTGAGTTTGTTAATAGACTATAACTTTTTAAAAAGCATACCAAGCTACCATAATTTGCCAAAGATGATGACTTGACAGTGATGACCTTGAAATACCTATAAATTTTGTTTCTCTGATAAGAGTTCTTCAGATTTGGAAATGAAACTGTCATTAGGAACATGTATAATTTATGAAATTCAGAACAGGGCACTGCAATGTTATTATTCTTGCACTGTTTTATTAATGGAGAATGGTGCTAAAATGTTTTAGATGTATATTGACTTTCTGACCATGAGATGTTCCTTTAGAACTTTACTAAAAGGAATTAACTCACTAATACTACAGTGTCCTGGAAGATTTTCTGTATTTCTGAAAAGAGAGCTCTTTCTTCCTTCCCTTCTTAGAGAACTGAATCTAGGGGCGCCTGGGTGGCTCAGTAAGTTAAGCACCTGCCTTCGGCTCTGCTCCTGATCTCAGGGCCCTGGGAGGAGCCTCACATCACTGGGCTCCCTGCTCAGCAGGGAGTCTGCTTCTCCCTCTCCCTCTGCCCTTCACCCCTGCTCATGCGCTCTCTCCCTCTCTCTCACTCTGGCAAAGAGCAACAAAGAAGTGGTCAACTTGGAGTTAAGAAATAGAATGGATGTACTGTTTTTATCTTAGTTGGCTTAATTTTTAATACTCCTCATTTAAAGATGGCCTGTTGTTTTGGGAAAGGCATACTATCTGCTTGAATGAATTTGGGTTTCTCACCTGAGGGACTGGCCCTTCTACCAAAAAGAGGAATCTATAATGTTCAGTAGCATGAAAACTATATCTGCCACAATAGTGCCATTAAAATGGGCATGTTAATAAAGATTAACATGCAAAAAGACAGGGCCTTACAAGATTTAGGAAGTAAAAGATAAAATAGTGGGGAATGAGGAATTTCAATAAGAAAGAAAGAAGTGCTTACAGCTTAGATACGGCTTAGATCAGAGAAGGCAGATATATGAGGAGAGATGAATAAAGAACTGGGAAAGTTACATAATCATCTTCACTCTTTCTTTTTTTCTGCTATCAATCACAGCAAATCTTGTCAGAGCCACTTTATTTAAATAAGATAGGTTAGTGCAACCAACAAATGTCTCTTGTGCTAAAACTGGCCTAAAAGGAAAGGTGAAAAAAATCTAATTTTAAGTCCAATTGTAACACAATTAAAATTTCCCAGACTTACCCAGTTGTGTATGGGGAAAGACTTACTCATGCCCTGTCCTTAAATAACGGGAACCCAGTTGGCAGCATGATATTAGGAACCCCACCATAACCATTAGGCAGGAAAAAGTTTTTCAAAGTGTTGTGCTTAGATCCCTGCATCAGAATCACCTGGGATATTAAGATGCAGAGTCCTACATCCCAGCCTAGAACTACCAAAGCAGAATCTCTGGAGATGTAGCCTAGGAATCTGGATTTATTACTGAATTCTTCTCACATTCAAACTCTGAAGCTGAGGACCACTGAGCTAGTATCTGGAATTAGTTTTGTCTTCTTTATCTTCAAATGCCACCTCTCTATTGCCTCCTTCACTTCAGCATTATGAATATACTCAAGTAAACAATTCAGTAATGTTAAGATTGAGATGACTATTAAATATCAAACTTCTGAATTAGACATTTAATAGCTAAGTGTGTAGATCATGGTTGGAGAGAGAGAAAGATAGATTTGTGAATCACCCAATACAGATAAAATTTAAAGCCAAGTGACTGCATGTTGATGATGAAGAGAAGACTATGTACGACAGAGCACTGTAGAATTCAAGTATTTTGAACCAGGGAGCTGAATGAAGGAGCCAGCAAAGGCAAGTGAGAAGAATGGTAAGAGAATAGGAGAAAAAACAAGAAAGAGAAAAAAACCTAAGAAAGAAAACTTGTTTTAGAACCTGTATGTATTATAGAGTTTTAGACAGAGGCAACTGAAAAATCACTCTCATAGTGATGTCTCTAGAAACAAGTATATAAATGCAACTTCCATGTGTTGCCATGGAAGATAAGTCCCACTGAAGACACACTCATAGATTTTAAAAATTACAAAGCACACTGAGATTACGGTCATGAGAGACAGAAGATGGAGTGGGAAGATTCTCACCTAAGAAAGAATAAATAAAAGAGAAAAATAAAGGAGGCTTTACAATAAGTTAATTTAAAACACCCAAAGAGATAAAAGAGGAAAATAACAGGAATTTAAGGAAAGGGAATGGGCCTCTTTCAATCCAGGTGGAAAGCATAGAAACAAAAAATATAATAATTGACAAAACTCAATGTATAGGTTATATAGTAGACTAGACCCCACTGAACAGAGATTCAGTAAATTGGAAAAGTTTAGGTAACAATACAGAAAGCGCACAGAGAGATTAAGAGAGGAGATGTGAAAAAGAAGGTGAGAGATTATGGTAGACGGACTTTACAGATCACTCTGTGATCAATACCTACCAGCATTTACATCCTTGTATAACCCCCTCCCACTGAGAGTGAGCTGGATCTCACTCGAGACTTTTAACCAACAGATAATGGCAAAGGTGATGGGCTGTTACGTCCTTGATTAGGTAAAAAAGAGGTGACTTCTGTGTTGTTAGGAGACCCTCTCCCGCTGACTTTGATGAAGGAAGTTGCCTTGCTGGAGAAGTCCATGTCAAGGCGGAGGCTTCTAGCCAAAAGCCAGGAGAGAACTAAGGCCCTCAGGGTCACTGATTCCTGCCAACATTCATGTAAATGATCTTGGAAGCAAATCCCTCCTCAGATGAGCCTTCCTTTAAGAGCCCAGCCCAGGCCAACACTCTAATGGAAGGGTTATGAGAAACCTTGAAGCAGAGGTCCCAGTTAGCTGTGCCCAGATTTCTGACTCATGGAAACTGAGAAACAGTAAATGTGTACTGTTTTAATCTATTACATTCTAGGGTCATTTGTTATACAATAACAGTAAACTAATACAGAGAGGCTGACAGGTACTAAGTCATTGAATACCTTTACTCAAGAAATGAAGCATTAGAGAAATCGAACATTTTACAAAATTTAAGGAGGGAAATGACAAGATAAAATGTCTATTTCTGAAAGATTCCCTAGCTAGACAAGAAAACAGATTGGAAGGAAGTGAGAGTAAGTGCAAAGGGACCAGGTAAAATATTTTAGATGACAGGAGAATGGCCCAGACTAGGTGGCAGGAGAGGGATGGAGCCGAGGTGAATCTAGTTGACAGATGAACCTTCCTACTCCAGGAGATTCATATATGTTGTCTACCTTGGATTCAGCTGCCTCTGCCTTTCATAACTCCTATATATAAATTCCCCAACTGACCAATGTTGACTCATAGGCAGGGACATCTCTGTACCTCTATTCAGCAGGAAGATGTTACAGAAGATAAGACCTTCCACTCTCAGCAACCTTAAAGATTTACGGGTCAAAACTGTTGGGCAGAAGGGGGCGGGGTGGAGATGAGAAGGAGAACAAAAGCAAAAAAAAAAAATGTAGATAAAAATTTGCAGACCATTGATAAATATCTGAGACATTCAGAGTATAACACTCCTCAAGGAACTCA